GCTGGAGTGAAAGGGGAGGGGGTGAAGGGAAACCTCAGGAGTGAAAGGAGGGGGGGGGAGAAACCTCAGGAGTGAAAGGAGGGGGGGGGGGAGAAACCTCAGGAGTGAAAGGAGGGGGGGGGGGGGAGAAACCTCAGGAGTGAAAGGAGGGGGGGGGGGAGAAACCTCAGGAGTGAAAGGAGGGGGGGGGGGGAGAAACCTCAGGAGTGAAAGGGAGGGGGGGGGGGGAGAAAACTCAGGAGTGAAAGGAGGGGGGGGGGAGAAACCTCTGGAGTGAAAGGAAGGAAAGGGGGGGGGGGGGGAGAAACCTCTGGAGTGAAAGGAGGGGGGGGGGGAGAAACCTCTGGAGTGAAAGGAGGGGGGGGGGGAGAAACCTCTGGAGTGAAAGGAGGGGGGGGGGGAGAAACCTCTGGAGTGAAAGGAGGGGGGGGGGGAGAAACCTCTGGAGTGAAAGGAGGGGGGGGGGAGGGAGTGAAAGGAGAGAAACCTCTCTGGAGTGAAAGGAGTGAAAGGAGGGGGGGGGGGGAGAAACCTCTGGAGTGAAAAGAAAGGGGGGGGGGGGAGAAACCTCTGGAGTGAAAGGAGGGGGGGGGGGGAGAAACCTCTGGAGTGAAAGGAGGGGGGGGGGAGAGAAACCTCTGGAGTGAAAGGAGGGGGGGGGGAGAAACCTCTGAGTGAAAGGAAAGGACTGGAGTGGGGGGGGGGGGAGAAACCTCTGGAGTGAAAGGAGGGGGGGGGGGGGAGAAACCTCTGGAGTGAAAGGAGGGGGGGGGGGGAGAAGACGGGAGAAACCTCTGGAGTGAAAGGAGGGGGGGGGGGAGAAACCTCTGGAGTGAAAGGAGGGGGGGGGGGGGAGAAACCTCTGGAGTGAAAGAGAGGGGGGGGGAGGGAGAAACCTCTGGAGTGAAAGGAGGGGGGGGGGGGAAAAACCTCTGGAGTGAAAGGAGGGGGGGGGAGGGGGGGGGGGAGTGAAAGGAAAAGGGAGGGGGGGGAAGAAACCTCTGGAGTGAAAGGGGGGGGGGGGAGGGGAAGAAACCTCTGGAGTGAAAGGAGGGGGGGGGGAGTGAAACCTCTGGAGTGAAAGGTGGGGGGGGGGGGAGAAACCTCTGGAGTGAAAGAAGGAGGGGGGGGGGGAGAAACCTCTGGACGTGAAAGGAGGGGGGGGGGAGAGAGAAACCTCTGGAGTGAAAGGAGGGGGGGGGAGAAACCTCTGGAGTGAAAGGGGGGGGGAGAGGGGAGAAACCTCTGGAGTGAAAAGGAGGGGGGGGGAGAGAAACCTCTGGAGTGAAAGGAGGGGGGGGGGGAGAAACCTCTGGAGTGAAAGGAGGGGGGGGGGGAGAAACCTCTGGAGTGAAAGGAGGGGGGGGGAGAAACCTCTGGAGTGAAAGGAGAGGGGGGGGGAGAAAACCTCTGGAGTGAAAGGAGGGGGGGGGGAGAGAGGAAACCTCTGGAGTGAAAGGAGGGGGGGGGAGAGAAACCTCTGGAGTGAAAGGAGGGGGGGGGGAAACCTCTGGAGTGAAAGGAGGGGGGGGGGGAGGAGAAACCTCTGGAGTGAAAGGAGGGGGGGGGGGGAGAAACCTCTGGAGTGAAAGGAAGGGGGGGGGGGAGAAACCTCTGGAGTGAAAGGAGGGGGGGGGGAGAAACCTCTGGAGTGAAGGAGGAGGGGGGGTGAAAGGAAACCTCTGGAGTGAAAAGGAGGGGGGGGGGGGGGAGAAACCTCTGGAGTGAAAGGAGGGGGGGGGGGGAGGAACCTCTGGAGTGAAAGGAGGGGGGAGGGAAACCTCTGGAGTGAAGGAGGGGGGGGGGAAGGAACCTCTGGAGTGAAAGGAGGGGGGGGGGGGAGAAACCTCCGGCGTGAAAGGAGGGGGGGGGGGGAAGGAAACCTCGGCGTGAAAAGGGGGGGGGGGGAGGGAAACCTCCGGAGTGAAAGGAGGGGGGGGGGGGAGGAACCTCTGGAGTGAAAGTGAAAGGGGGGGGGGGAGGGGGGGGAAGGAAACCTTTTTCCGGCGTGAAAGGGGGGGGGGGGGGAGGAGGGGGGGGGGAAGGAACCTCAGGCGTGAAAGGGGGGGGGGGAGGGAAGGAACCTCGGGAGTGAAAAGGGGGGGGGGAAACCTCTGGCGTGAAAGGGGGGGGGGGGGAGGGGGGAGAACCTCCGGCGTGAAAGGAGGGGGGAGGAGAAGGAACCTCGGCGTGAAAGGGGGGGGGGGAGGGAAGGAACCTCGGCGTGAAAGGGGGGGGGGGGGGGAGAAGGAACCTCTGGAGTGAAAGGAGGGGGGGGGGAGAAACCTCTGGAGTGAAAGGGGAGGGGGGGGGGAGGAAACCTCTGGAGTGAAAGGGGGGGGGGGGGGGGGGAAGAAAACCTCTGGCTGTGAAAGGGGGGGGGGGGGGAGGGAAGAAACCTCTGGCGTGAAAGGGGGGGGGGGGGAGGAACCTCTGGGCGTGAAAGGGGGGGGGAGGGAAGGAACCTCGGAGTGAAAGGGGGGGGGGGAGGGAGGGAAGGAACCTCTCCGGCGTGAAAGGAAGGGGGGGGGAAGGAACCTCAGGAGTGAAAGGAGGGGGGGGGAGGGAAGGAACCTCCGGAGTGAAAAAGGGGGGGGGGGAGAAAGGGAGTGAAGGGGGGGGGGGGGAGGGGGAGGAACCTCCGGTGTGAGGGGGGGGGGGGGTGGAGGAGGAGGAGGGGGGGAGGGGGGGGGAGGGGAGACGGAACCTGGGAAGGGGGGGGGAAACCCTGGAGTGAAAGGGGGGGGGGGGGGAGAAGGACCTCTGGAGTGAAAGGAGGGGGGGAGGGAAGGAACCTCTCGGGAGTGAAAGGAGGGGGGGGGGGAAACCATGGGTGAAAGGAGGGGGGAAAGGAACCTCTGGAGTGAAAGGGGGGGGAGGGGGAAGGAACCTCTGGAGTGAAAGGAGGGGGGGTAAGGAACCTCGGAGTGAAAGGGGGGGGGGGGGGGGTAAGGAACCTCCGGCGTGAAAGGAAGGGGGGGGGGGAAGGAACCTCCGGGTGGTGAAAGGAGGGGGGGGAGGGAAGGAACCTCCGGCGTGAAAGGAGGGGGGGGGGAGGGAAGGAACCTCCGGCTGTGAAAGGAGGGGGGGGGGAGGGAGGAACCTCCGGCGTGAAAGGAGGGGGGGGGAAGGGAACCTCCGGCGTGAAAGGGGGGGGGGGAGGAGGGAAGGAACCTCCGGCGTGAAAGCCGGGGGGGGGGGGGGCGTGGAAGGAAAACCTCCGGCGTGAAAGGGGGGGGGGGGAGGGAAGGAACCTCCGGCGTGAAAGGGGGGGGGGGAAAACCTCCGGGGGAAAAGGGGAACCTCCGGAGTGGAAGGGAAGGAACCTCCGGGTGAAAGGGGGGGGGGGGGGGGGGGAGGGAAGGAACCTCCGGCGTGAAAGGAGGGGGGGGGGAGGAGGGAAGGAACCTCCGGCGTGAAAGGGGGGGGAGGGAAGGAACCCTCCGGCGTGGGGGGGGGAGGGAGGGAAGGAACCTCCGGCGTGAAAGGAGGGGGGGGGGGGGAAGGAACCTCCGTGCGTGAAAGGGGGGGGGGGGGAGGACCTCCGGGGAAGGAACCTCCGGCGTGAAAGGGGGGGGGGGGGAGGAGGGAAGGAACCTCCGGCGAAAGGGGGGGGGGGAGGAAGGGGGGAGGGAAGGAAGGAACCTCTGGCGTGTGAAAGGGGGGGGGGGGAGGGAAGGAACCTCCGGCGTGAAAGGGGGGGGGGGGGAGGGGAAGGAACCTCCGGCGTGAAAGGGGGGGGGGGAGGGAAGGAACCTCCGGCGTGAAAGGGGGGGGGGAGGGAAGGAACCTCCGGCGTGACTCCGGCGTGAAATGGGGGGGGGGGAGGGAAGGAACCTCCGGCGTGAAAGGGGGGGGGGGAGGGAAGGAACCTCCGGCGTGAAAGGGGGGGGGGAGGGAAGGAACCTCCGGCGTGAAAGGGGGGGGGGGGGGGAGGGAAGGAACCTCCGGCGTGTGAAAGGGGGGGGGGAGGGAAGGAACCTCCGGCGGTGAAAGGGGGGGGGGGGGAGGGAAGGAACCTCCGGCGTGAAAGGGGGGGGGGGGGAGGAAGGGAAGGAACCTCCGGGGGGGGGGGGGGAGGAGGGAAGGAACCTCCGGCGTGAAAGGGGGGGGAGGAGGGAAGGAACCTCCGGCGTGAAAGGGGGGGGGGAGGAGGGAAGGAACCTCCGGCGTGAAGGGGGGGGGGGGGAGGAGGGAAGGAACCTCCGGCGTGAAAGGGGGGGGGAGGAGGGAAGGAACCTCCGGCGTGAAAGGTGGGGGGAAGGAACCTCTGGCGTGAAAGGGGGGGGGGGGAGGGAAGGAACCTCCGGCGTGAAAGGGGGGGGGGAGGGAAGGTACCTCCGGCATGAGGGGGGGGGGGGGGGGAAGGTACCTCCAGCATGAAGGGGGGAGGAGAAAGGAACCACCGGCGTGAAGGTAAGTTAATCAAGGCAAGTGTGTGCGCTGTCTCAGGTTTCCCATTAATAAGTGACATTGAAGTACTTTGCATTGTAGCCTGGGGGACCCTGTGATTCTACATACTTCTAAGGGCTGGTTCAAGCACTTGCGGTGTGGGAATTGCACAGAAACGTGCTGCCCTCTGCAGATGCATGCAGGTGCCAATAATTCTTCCAGCTCCTCCATGCATCTAACAAATGCGTTCATGGCCATAAAATGTATGCTACTGAAGTGCTATGTGGTTTGGAGTAGAACGCGGAGATACTTCTTGCATGTTCCTGGCTGTTTGGCAGCTCACTGAAAAGAACATGAATGCCTGAACACAACTTGGATAGAGTGAACAGGCCCTTCAGGTGGCACGGCTGGATAAGATTAAGAAGCTCTGTGTGACCAATCAGCCTACACACTGGCGTATGGAGGGGTGAGTGTACATGGAGGGGTGAGTGTACATGGAGGGGTGAGTGTACATGGAGGTACAAAGCATGCAGTGAGCTGTGTGCTGACCAGTGGGCCCTGTAGTGTCACAGCACTGAGCTCTATGAGGAGACAGAGAATACACTCACTTCCAGGTTGAATGCGCTGCAGCCCTTCAGGAACTCCCTGATGTTTCCCAGACACTCGGTCTCTGTGCGCGGCTCCGGGTACACCTGCAGAGGGGACACACACAGAGTCAGACATGTACAGTACACTCCCCATATACAGTGCACCCCCCTCCTCCTATATACACAGCATACCCCCCTCAGTGAATGGACGGACTACACTACACTCCGCACCGGCCTCCCTCTCACCTGATATTCTTTACCCCCCCCCCCGTTTGCACCTTCTTTTTTTTAAACCCTCCAGGAAGCGAATCCCAGCTCAGGAAATGACGTGCTAGGAAGAGCCCGGCTCCCCCAATACTGTGCCAGGGGCAGAGCTGGGATTCTACCTGACTCGGGAAACACTGGAGACAACCTTCCCAGCCGGACCAATCCGGGAGCGGCCGGCTTTAACCCCATCGCTGCCATTGTATATCTCCCCTGCTACCGAGACAGGGGGACACTGGGACAGCACACTGTATGACAACAACGAGCAGAACACATGTTCCCGGACTACCGTGTGATCACCCAGCGAAACGTACACATCAAACTGTCAGCTCGGGATTAATTCCCAGGAATTAACACTTGTTTCCCGATTTGATTCATATAATCAGGTTCATCCGTGGGATGATAACAATGGATCATACATTACAAGAAATAATAGATCAGAGATTACTACAAACAAAAGCTCATACATAATAATACACAATAGTTCATACACTACAATAAACAAGGGATCACACATTGCATGACACATGAGATCATATGTTGTATGGATAGTATGTTATGATAAATAAAAGGATCATTGATTACTATAAGCAGTGGATTATAGATTTCTATACACCGGGCATCACTAAATGGCAGATCAGGGTCCGGATGCAGACTGAGTCAATTGCCCCATCCGGACCGGTGCGGTCCACCATTTAGAAGCCTTTTCTTCCCCTGGCCATCCCATGGTCATCCTCACAGAGCTGATATGTTGGGGGATGTTGGGGGGCTGAGGACATTAAGTGGGGACTAAGAACAGTAATGTAGGGAGGACAGTAGTGTGTATGTGTGGGGGGGGGGGGGAGGGTTGAGAACATTATAAATAAAGTGGAGGAGCTGAGGACTGAAATTTGGGGGCTAGAGGCTGTGATGTGGGGGGGTGGGCTTATAGCATTAAAATAGGGGGGCTGAGGACAATAATGTGAGGGGCTGAGGACTGTGATGTGTGGGGGCTAAGGACATTAAAGTGGGAGGGGGCTAAGAACTGTAATGTGTGTGTGTGTGTGTGTGGGGGGGGGGTTGATGTCAAGGAAGTGTGGAAACACAACTGTGAAAGGGGGTGGAGGGGGTGAAGTAAAGGGGGAGATGAGGACACTCAACAAGAGGGGATCTTGCTGTGAAAGGGGAGGGGACTGTGATGTGCAGTGGGAATTGAGGACACTGATATATGAACAGGTTCAGATCTGTACATGTGCACTTGGTGCTCACATTGTGAGTAGGTCAGTGAAAGAGGGTCAGAGAAAAGTCTCCAACCCTTTTTTTCAAAAGCAACATGCAGTTTGGCGCACACGAAAATGCACCACAGGTGCCTACATGAGTTTTGGACCTCTGCTGGATCAAAAGTTTACTGCCCAGACCTCAGTAAATTGTAATTCAATACCCCTGCTAGCTATAAACAATGGTTCATACATTATGATAAACAATGATTCATATACTACAATAAATAACAGATCATATACAATGATAAACTATGGATCATATATAACAATAAACAATGGATCATAGATTACTAGAAACAATGGATCATATATTATGATAAACAATGGATCATATATTATGATAAACAAAGGATCATAGATTACTATAAGGAATAATAGATTAAATATTGGATCATGGATCACTATAAACAATAATAGATTAAATAATGGACCGTAGATTTCTATAAACAATAATAGATTAAATAATGGACCATAGATTTCTATAAAACAATAATAGATTACGCTAAATATTGGATCATAGATTACTATAAAAAAAATAATAGATTACATCAGTGGTCTCCAAACTGCGGCCCTTTGCTTGCCTTTATACGGCCCTTGGGACAATATCCCTCCCACTGACACCTACAATGGGGAATCATTTTTGCCACCAACACCAACAATTCAGCACTATTCCTTCCACTGACATCAAGAATGAGGCACTATTCCTCCCACTAACCCCAAATACTCTTCCACCTGACTCTAAAGATGGTTCATTGTTTACTCTCACTTATGCCAGGACATTTTCTACTCCAAGTGGCCATGATCCGGCCCTCCAAAATCCTGAAGGACAGTAAACTGGCCCTTTGTTTAAAACGTTTGGAGATCCCTGCTCTACATAATGGATTATGGATCACGATAAACAATAATAGATTAAATAATGGATCATAGCTTTCTATAAACAATAATAGATTATTATAAATCATGGATCACTATAAACAATAAAAGATTAAATAATGGATCATAGATTTCTATAAAGGAAGGTTATGTGCAGTGCACAGTGTGCCGCATGTATGGAACAATGGAGCAACAGCTCCAGGATGGATACGGCTGTAACAGATGTGAGTGGGTTGCTCTTCTGGAAACTCACATTAGAGATCTGGAGGAGCAAGTTGCAACACTGGGCAGAACCGACAACCTGAAAGGGGTCTTCTGCTCTCGGAGCAGGTAGCTAATGGGATTGATTTGGAGGGCGGAGGGGATAATCAAGATTATCAGGTAGAAAGATGGGTTACTGTAAAGAAGGAGTGGTAGGGGATCACAGAAAAGGAAGGCCAGCCCTGGGTTTGTGCACCCAAATAGATTTGCCAAGTTTGGTGAAGATGTGGGAGTGGCAAGCTCAGGGGTGGCAGCCCTGGATATCACTGCTATCCCTAACAGCCGGGAGGGCAGACCATCTGGGAGAGGTGGTGAGGGTATTGCAGGAAGGCCTAGACAGTTGGTGGTAATAGGGGATTCTATAATCAGAAGGACTGATAGAATAATGTTTTCACCAGGATCGCCTCTGTTAGGGATCCGGGTATGACCAGAAATGTGTGGACTGACACAGGGAAATGCAGGCTTCAGGTATAGTGTAAATAAGACAATTTATTAAAAGACTAAACAACACAAACGCAGTGCAAGGTAAACATAACAGAGTGCAAACAACCCAAGCTCCAACAAATAACCATATATACAAATCAACGTAGTCAGGCAGGGGGGGTCGGTAGCAAACGGGCAGGCAAGGTACAAGGAGCAGGCGGAAGAGTAGTCAGGAATAGCCGAGGTCAGGACAAGCAGAGTTCATGCAGAGTCAGGATAAAGCAGAATCAGGATCAGGCAGGAAGCAGACAGGATGCAGGTACAGGGGCTCATGGGAAACATTACACCAAGGCCCTGACTGCAGGTCTGGCCATTCCTTAAATACACCTCCTGCAATCAGCCTCAGGTGATGGCTCATTGCAGGAGTGAGCCTCTGATTGCTGAGAGCACCCGCTGGCCAGCCCTGGTACTGCAGCCCACAAGGCAGGTGAGTCCCACCACCACTGGCAAGTCCATTCCTGACAGCCTCAACCGAATGGTTTACTGTCTCCCTGGTGCCAGGGTTCGGCATGTGGTGGACCAAGTTGATAAATTACTGGGAGGGGCTGGGCATGACCCAGCTGTCTTGGCCTATGTTGGAGCCAATGAGAGAATACATGGAAGGTGGAGGCTCCTTAAGAATCAATTTAAAGAACTAGGCTGCAAGTTGAAGGGAAGGACCTCCAAGGTAATATTCTCTGAAATGTGTGAAAGAGGACCTAGTTGATGGAGAGTGTGATGAGGCTGAAGCATTATGGGTGGAACTGCATGTGGGGGTGCGTACTACAAAGGTAATCATTGGAGTTTGTTATAGGTCTCCCAGTGTTAATGAGGAGACTCAGCTCCTTGCACAGAACAAAAGGGCTGCAAGGGCTGGGACAGTGATAATAATGGGGGATTTTAACTACCCAGAAATTGACTGGAGTAATGGTACTGCAGGAACAATTAAAGGGCAAACATTTTTAAACCTACTACAGGACAATATTATGGTACAGTTCATAGAGGCCCCAACTAGAAATGATGCTCTGCTGGACCTGGTAATCTCAAACCATGCAGAGCTTATTACGAATGTTCATATAAAAGAACATCTGGGTAGCAGTGACCATAACATGATTTCATTTATTGTTAGCTGTAAACAGCAAACACATACGGGAAAAATAAAACCGCTCAATTTTAAGAGAGCTAGTTTTCCCAGCCTGAGAGCTGCTCTCCAAGACTTAGAATGGGAGGGAATATTGGTATCAATGAACACAACACAGAAATGGGAGTTGTTCAAAAAGACTGTATGTGAACACACAGCAAAATATATTCCCATGGGCAACAAGTTTAAAAGGCTAAAAAATCAAACCTATGTGGCTTACGACCAAAGTTAAAAAAGCTATAAATAATAAGAAAAGAGCTTTTATTAAATATAAAAATGAAGGAATGCTATCATTGTTTAAACATTACAAAGAATATAACAGAATATGCAAAAAGGAAATAAAGACCGCAAAAATTGAAAACGAACAACAAATTGCAAAAGATAGCAGGATCAACCCCCAAAAATTCTTCAAATATATTATTAGTAAAAAGGTCCGGTCTGAGCATGTAGGCCCTTTACAGAATAATCTAGAGTGGGTGACTGGGGACAAAGAGAAGGCAAATTTATTAAATACCTTCTTCAGCTCTGTGTATACAAAGGAGCATGGGGGAGCTCTTGTCCATAATGGGCATGGCACAGCTCCAGATGATCCACATTGGCTCACAATTGATATGATCCAGAAATATTTAGACAGTATAAAGGTGAATAAAGCACCTGGACCGGATGGCATACACCCACGGGTCCTTAAAGAATTGAGCTCTATCATTTCAAAGCCATTGTTTCTAATTTTTAGGGACTCTTTAATGACTGGCATAGTATCACTGGATTGGCGTAAGGCCAATGTGGTGTCAATATTTAAAAAGTGGTCAAAATCTTTAACAAGTAATTATAGACTTGTTAGTTTAACTTCTATAGTTGGGAAGATACTGGAGAATTTAATAAAACACCACATAGATCAATTATTGCTGGAAAAAAATATTTTAAGCAACAGACAACATGGATT